GTCACCTCGCCGTCGGACCGCGATCACCTCGAGATGGGCCTGACCTGCGAGAACCTGATTCAATTCGCGAGCGAGGTCAATATCGGGTTCGAATTCGACGTGATGGACTTGGACTCACTGAGTTCCGGGTCTTGGCCCAGCTCGTTTGGTGGCGAGGCAGTCGTGGTGAATCTCCCGATCAGCTCTCTGGCATCTAGCTGCCAGCTGTCGCCGCCTTTCGTTCTTCGTTTTGTGAAACAGCTGTCGCCAAGAATTGTTGTCTCGGTCGAGAAAGGATTCGAAAGAAATGATTTGCCTTTCGCTAATCACATTATCCACGCTCTTCAATCGTGCTCGAATCTGCTCGAGTCTTTAGATGCTGTTAACATGAACGTGGATTCACTGCAAAAAATTGAGCGGTTTTTGCTGCAGCCCGCGATTGAGAAAATCGTGTCAGGTCGTTTTCGAGCCCCTGAGAAGACACAGCACTGGCGTGCCTTATTCTTGTCGAACGGTTTCTCGCCTGTAATGTTCAGTAATTTAACGGAGTCCCAAGCGGAGTGTGTGATCAAGAGGACTCCAGTTCGAGGGTTTGAAGTCGAGAAAAGGCAGTCGAGTCTCGTGCTTTGCTGGCAGAGGAAGGAGCTTATCTCTGCCTCGGCTTGGAGATGCTAATAATGTTAGTCGACAATTTTACGAATTAAAAAAAAAAAAGTTTAAATTTTTATGGATACCATGCATGAATGCTTTAGTTTTCTCTAGTTATTGCCTATTATTTTGTTTTCTTCCGCGTTTTTTCCATGATGTTTCAAAGAACTGGGCTCGTTTTTAGTACTGGATTTTGTGATAATGTAGTGTTATAATGTATCATTGGTATGTGGTAATAGATTGATGTTGATTAGTGCATTTTGGTGCTGGTAAATGCTTTTGACAGCCCTTCTTTTTTGTTCTGCAGTGTTAATGTCTGAGTCATTATAACTCGCGACTGCCGAATATTTAACGTGGGAAATGCTACGGTCTCGTTATAGAACCATTCTGTCAGGGTATGTAACTGTTAGATCATCACGTAACCGTCAGAGATAGTTGATCTAACGGTTACAAACTCAGACGGGATGGTTCCATAGCACTATAATTTTTGCAGAATTTGATCCATTTTTTTTTCCTCTCTTTTGATTCAGTTCATCAAACTAGGAAGCTGAACAAACTTTCTGGGCTCGATCAAGATTTTCAAGACGCCACATTTAACCCGTTCGGAGTTTATTCGAATAAAAGAACCAAAAAAAAAAAAAAAAAAAAAAA